TGGTAGAAAAATAAAAAGTTTTAATTACACTGTTGAAAAGTAAATAAAAAATTATATAAAATATTGTGAAACAAGAAATTTTATTTTATCAAATAGTCACCAAAAAAGAGTAAACCCAAAAAAATTATTATTGAGTGACCAAAATAGTTATAAGCTCTTAAAAGTTTATGCTTCAGATTCTATCTTTTGTTTTTAGGCAAAAAAGAATCATGAAAATAAAATATTTTACCCACAATCATGTTTTATTGATATTTTAATGAAGTTAAAATTCTTTCTATGATTAGATTTTATATTTATTTGTTAATTTTAATTAACAAAATATATTGAAAAAAGATGTGGAGTAAGTTGGAGGGCAGAAAGAAAGTGAAGAAAAAAATTATGAATAAAAAATTCCAATTATGTAAGGTTTAGTAAAATCAACAATGTAACAAAGCATAAATACTTAAATCTATAATTTGCAATTTAGACTAAATTACGAGAATAGTTAGCATTAAAGTTAAATAAATCATTTTCGCCTAACAGGAGAAATTAATATAACGCGATAATTTTATTTTTTATTTCAATCTACTAGTCTGAGCTGGGGACTGGGGGCACTTTAATACTTTGAGTAGGGGCAACCTTCTAATCAATAAATAAAAAATTGCTTTGCTTAATTGTTTTAGAAATTGACTGGGGCAAGTGCCCCCATTAGCTCCTCCCTGCATCCGCCCATGGTGGCTATAGCAACTCTGCCAGAGGCATGACAAGAGTCTAATCGTGGGCCCCTTGATCCTGACTAAGCCAGCTCCCTCGTCTAGGTCTGGTCCGCCGCTACTCGTGGCCGAGGCCGAGCGCCTGAGCTGCCTTCGGAAGCCTCTGGATGGAAGGCCGGCCGTGGTTGCTCCGAGGATGACCAACCCTGCCGGGGCCGAGTGCGCAGTACTGCCGAGGCGATCTTCGCTAGTCTTTGTCCTGGTTCCGCCAAGTGGGCCTTGGCAAAGTTGGGCTGAGCCGTCTTCCTGCTGGGCTGGATACCCCCATTCCCGGGTATCCATCAACATGCTTTCATATATGTTTAATAGTCTATTATTGTGATTAATTTATTTTTTAAATTTGAGCATGTATAGAAATCATTTCTATACATATTTGCATTGATGATTTTGGGATACGGAAGAAGAATTACATTATTTAATTAGTTAATATTTGTTAATTAGTTTTTATTTATCAATATTATATGGTTATCATGTTAGAATTTAGTATGGTCCGAGCCCATTACGTCGTTTAGATTTCAGAATATTCCTTTGACATCTCTTTCTTCTGAAATATTGTTCATTATACTATATTAGTGTTTTGGCAAAATACATCAATGCTTTCCTTTTCTAATATTATATGATTAGAAATCATCCTAAATAGGACTAAAACATAGAGAAAAGTACCAAAATAGGACTTTCATGTTTTTTTCCTGGAATAGGACTTTGCACTGTGGTAATGTGACTTTGCATTGTGGTAATGTGGTAGTGTACATGTGCAAATTACTATACTTTTTTGGTAATGTATATGACCATGTTTGGTAATGTAAGTCCTATTTCGGGAATAAAAACATGGAAGTCCTATTTTGGTATATTTTCAATGTTTTAGTCCTAGTTTGGTCTTTCTCCCTTATATGATCACCCAAATAATGTAAAAAAGTCTAACTTTGAAAAAAAACATTCATCTTTATCCGTGTTTATGGCGATATGTTACAAATTTAGATATATATATATATATAGGGGTGGGTTCTAATAAGAATGATCTTCTACGAAAGAAATAAGAATGAATGAGTTCCATTGATCTCAAACGATCAATGGATGGAATCCTTTTACAAAATGGACGGCACCACTAGATTTTATAAGGTAAGGAAATCAATTCATTGATTGTGAATTAAAATCAAAGAGTAATAGGGGCAATGTTGTAAAATTGTATTGCATTTAAAATGGTCATGGATGACACGCAACTATCCATTTCCAAAATTAATGCTTTCCATAGCATTTGACTTCCACTTAGATTCTTTTTGGATCTCTTGTCACGTTTTTATCTTTTTTTTTTATTTTTTCAATTTTTATTTTTTTTGTCAATTTTCTTCAATAAAAATTAATATTAAATATTTTTTGTATTTATTCCTCATATGCATTATTTTAATGCATTTCACACGATGGAAAAGATTTATTTATTTACTTTGTTTTTTTTCAAATTTATAAATAATACTTTCTTGTCATGTTATTTTTATCATTTTTTGGTTAACTATATTTGGTTTTTTTATATTATCACATTTTATTATAAGTGGCACACATTTTAAAGTAAAAATTTAAAAATTTATAGAATTTTTAATGTTATTGCACTATGCTAGCTGATATATGCATTGTGTCTTGCTTTTATATTTTATTTAATTTTTGTATTAATTTGTGAATTAGTGAATAATGACACCTGAGTAACTTTTTGTAAGGTGAAAAAGCTTAAGAATGTATTGTATTCAGAATAAATATAATACAAATTTGAGAAATAGTTTGCCTATGCGGGATTCGAACCCACAATCGTAGTACGTACTGCTCTACCATTTGAGCTAATAGGCACCAATTTTTTGAAAGAGACTCACAACTTGCACTTAGACCTATTAAATATAGATTTTAAGATGAGAATTTTATAGAAAATTTTAAGTGCATCATCATTTGCGAAAAAATCACTATGTACAGTATACAAATGCATCAGAAATTCTCCACAAGATGCATCAATTTTGGTTCCATATTATCTTTTAGCTTGATTTTGAAAATGTGTTGCCCTCTTCTATAAATGCATTAACTTGATTCAATAATGCACAATGATAGTACAACCGTAGTATGTACTGCTACGGTTATAGTACAACCGTAGTACGTACTTTTCTAACATTTGAGCTAATAGGCACCAAATTTTTTTAAAAGAACTCACAACTTGCACTTAGACCTATTAAATGAATTTTAAGATGAGAATTTAACAGAAAATTTTAAGTGCATCATCATTTGCGAAAAATATCACTATGTACAGTATACAAATGCATCAGAAATACTCCCCAAGATGCATCAATTTTGATTTTATATTATCCTTTAGCTTGATTTCGAAAACGTATTGCCCTCTTTTATAAATGCATTAACTTGATTCAATAATGCACAATGATAGAAAAAAGCAAAGTAAAGAAAAACAAAACAAACAAACAAACAATAATGTACATCCCTATTGAATACCAAATTGTCCAATCAACATTATCATGGCCAACAATTTCCAAGAATATAACAATATAACCACAATCCACAAATGTTTTACATTCTTTTTTCTATGCCTTGAAATGTGACTGGATGTGGGGGTTGTGCTCAATGTAAATGCAGTATACAAAGGGGTGGAGTACAGTACTAGTGTTCTACAATGCTATGTCTAATAGAAGAAAATCTTAAAATTTCACAACAGACCAATGCAGACTAGCATAAAAGAAGACATAAAAAGGGGTAGGGTTTTGACATAAAAATTTCACAACACACCAGATAATAATGAATGAAACTGTCCAGACCAGATACTAATGAAATAATTAAATCAAATGATAAAGAACCACGAAATATAATCCATTAATATGAGCGAAATCACGAGAGTTAACAAAAACATGACCAAAGCAAAAAATCCTCAAATTCAATCGTAATGTTTGAAATGCATTGGGACATTCATTTTACAGAATTTTCCAACATAAGTAAAAATAAAAGAGTAAAAAGTAAGTTGTGGACAAAGTTAACCCAAAGTGAATATAGAGTTCGTATATGTGTGCAGTATCGTAAATATGAAGTGCATTATTAGACTATTAAAATGACATCTCATGAATAAAGTAAACCAAAACAGAAAATAATGAAACTATATAATAAAAAAGTTGAAGAACTACCTGCTATATTCAACTAATATGTTAATGCAGGAGAAAAATCAAAGTTTTGAAAATAATATGAAAAGAATTTAATCAAGAATCAAAATAAAATTAAGTAAAAATTTACAAAAATAAATTGTTGTAAATCGTTTAAGAAAAAAGAAGAAGAGTTAACCTCAATTAAATTGATTCTGCTATATCAGCCTCAACTCAGCAAAATTAAACATTAAATTGGAATCCTTTGCTGAAAACGATCCAAATGCTCCAAGACTTGCACCAAAACTCCAGTAAATCAATGAGGCAAAGGGCTAGAAAAGACAGTGAGCAGTACTTTGAGAGAAGGTTCTAGCCTCCGCACCTAGTGACAGATCCTCTAGTTTCCATTCCCTTTTGAGATTCAATTGGTGATAAGATAATAGAAGATGATGAGTGATGGAGCGAATCGTGCGCTACAATTTTGGAGACGATGAGAATAGATGATGGAGAGAGAAAGGGGTTACTTTGAAAACCCAAATATGACCTTGGGGAGATAGTATTAATCTCTTTAGATCTAATGGTTAAAATTTATTCTTATTTCTTTCATTAGATTTCATTCTTATTTGAACCAAAGTCTATATATATATATATATATATATATATATATATATATATATATATATATATATATATATATATATATATATATATATATATATATATATATANGATGAGAATAGATGATGGAGAGAGAAAGGGGTTACTTTGAAAACCCAAATATGACCTTGGGGAGATAGTATTAATCTCTTTAGATCTAATGGTTAAAATTTATTCTTATTTCTTTCATTAGATTTCATTCTTATTTGAACCAAAGTCTATATATATATATATATATATATATATATATATATATATATATATATATATATATATATATATATATATATATATATATATATATATATATATATAGACACAACACACACACATGCATGCATGCATACATACACCTTTTTGAGTCATTAAAAGAAATTAGAATAAATGAGAAAAAAAATAAAAAAATTAAAAGTTAATTTTCCCACCCAAAAAGAAATACGGCCTAAAAAGTGTATTGTATAGGGGCTGATGTTGGGTACACTGCAAGTACCTAAGGCCCAAGAAGAAAAGAACGAAGCAAATTGGGGAAAAATCATATCAAATACGGAGTAATCATCAATGAATCACCACTGCTAGGGTTCAAGCAGCTGAGCAACCAAACCATCATGAAATTGGCCTCTCTCCATAGCATCCAGAACGCACACGACGACTCCATATGGACGGCGGCGTGGGTCGGACCTAACGACGGTGCTCGGCCGCTCCTCCTCACCGGCGGACTCGACGAGACTGTGCGCCTCTGGGACCCGGAGAGGTACACTTCTGTCAGAACCAACACTGGACATTGCCTTGGCGTCGTTTCCGTGGCCACCCACCCCACCCGCAGGATCGCTGCTTCAGCGTCTATAGATAGCTTTATTCGTGTCTTCGACGTCGATTCTAACCTAACCATTGCCACTCTTGAAGCTCCTCCATCTGAGGTCTGGCAATTGTCATTCAATCCAGAGGTATGCGTGGAAGTATGAGAAAAATATTCATTCCTAAGATCATATGGGATGCAAGTAAATATGAGAAGTGTTTATGCTGTTTGGCTGGCTTGACTGATTGATTGTGTTAACTTAATTCCACTACACAAATCACTGTTGAACGCTATAGTGTGCAATTCAGGTAGGTTTTGCACTTAACGGGATAAATGCCATGTTTTTGCTATTTAATTATTGGAAAACATGATCTAAACTCCCAGACACAACTATTAAAGATGCTTCTGGGAGCTACTAATAAAACTGGACTTGGATTTTATTTTAAGCTTCCGACAAGTAATAGGTATGGTGGCTAAGGATGTCATTGCTGCTCTAGGATCTGTTTGGCTAGTTTGAATGATAGAAAAACACCATAGATATGATAAGTTGACCACCAAAGGCACAAAAATAGGAAATGACAAACTGGTTCTTCTTTTTTCCATCTTTTCCTTCATTACTTAGCATTGGCATGCACTATCCTAAATGCTTGGAGGTATCCAATCCTAAGTGATGAAGGAAAAGATGTAACAAAGAAGAACGAGTTTGTCAGACCCTCAGACTAGGTTCTGAAAACAACATAGAGACCAACCTGACTCCCTGAGTTTGGTCAAGTTTGTTCTGACTTTGGCTAGCTTGCCTGGCAGCTGAATTCATCTGCCCCCAGCTCCCAGCTTTGACAGATCTCAAACAATTTTGATTTCCTCCTGTATTTTTGGATTATATATGAAAATGATCTCTTACTTTAAACCATTGGCGTCCTCCCACGAGGCCACCAAATCTTGTTGTTAACAATCCAGTGGGTCTTCAACAATTATAAGCCCTCACAAGGCATAAGCCTCATGCTGAATTACCATACAAGCGCCATATGCAAACAAATGGAGCTCACAAAAATTTTCGAATTCATTTTAGCAGGACAAATTCATATTTCCTAAAAAGAAAATTCTTAAATAAATATTTGAGTAATTTCATTATTTATTTTGTAATTAAAACTATGGTTGCATGTTGAAGCTCTAAAGTTCATGAGAATAATAAAAATGTTCTCCATCCAGTCATCCAGATCATTTGTTGTATTGGACGACTAGATCCGCTAGTCGCTAGCAAGTGTAAGGACAACTAGTTTTGCCTGCTGCCATGGACGTGAGACCAAGATGGTACTGAAAGAAGTATTTGCTGAGTAAGTAGTGTAGTCTGCGAAAAACAATGCCTTTGAGTGAAGAAGAAAGCTGGTTGTGTCAAAAACTTCAGTCGCTTCTGCCTTCTTTCATAGTCTCATTTTTGCAGTTGATGAAGAATAAGAGATGGTTCTGGGGTTTTAGTTGGATTGGGATTTATATAATTTGATTAAAAACAGCCCAAAATTCTATACCTTATTCTCCATATGTGAAGTGAAGCACATGGTTGTTTTCATTTGGAGAACCAGAGAAGTAGAAAACTTTGAAGATTTTTTTTGGCACGCTGCTCTGAGAAGCTCTCGAGGTGTGTACGTAAACCATTTATAATTACTGGCTTCTTTGTCTTAATAATCCAGTTTGTCAAAACAGTGATTTTCTGCACACAAAGTGTGTTGCATTACTACCAAGTACCAACTATATTATAAGTTCGTAGTCAGTTAGTAGTTTGGCCAAATCAAGCTGTGGCTTATCAGGGTTTGAGATAGAGTGTGTGTGTGTTAATCACTAAAAGGTCATTCTCATTATATGAGAGTCAATAGTGTATACTACGTATTTAAGAGTGGGGTTTTAACTCAGATTCCCTAACTCTTGGGGTGGAGGGATTATTCCCTCTTTTGTAGTACTCCCTCTGCCCCAAAATGTTTTGCACTTTGCGCAATACTAGGCCAAATTTCAAGTTTCAATTCACTATTTAGAGATTGGTATAGAAATAACAAATAGAACTTACATTGTTAAAAACTATGCCAAAATATCTACAAAACAAGAGTTAACAAGAATATTTTATTTTATCTAATAATCAATGAAAACACACAAATAAACAAAAGTTATCGTGAATTTTGATTTGTGTAGAATACAACTCTTTTTGGGATGGGAGAGTAATAGGTAATAACAAAGCCATTGCCACAACTTGTTAATATACCTTCTCAAATTGATGGAAATACCTTAGCAAAGATTCACGAAAATTATAAAAACATGGTAAAAATAAACACCAGTCAATTGAAAGTTTGAGGAGAGTCATATGGCTTATGGATTTTCTAAATTGTAGTTGACTCACTTGATTGATTTTGTTTTAATTTGATTCCAATAACTTCTTTAGCTTATCTGTTTTAGGAAGTGACATGCTAAAATTTATTCCTAGTTAAGGCATTTCTATGCCTATTATAAAAGGGAACATAGCTGCTTAGGAAGATAAATAAAAAGAGCTTTGATTTTCTTTGCTAAAAGTACCATAGTACATAATAGGTAATAGTTTCTTGAAGTAGTTGACTATTGCGTAGTATTGTCCACCCTATAGTAATCCATTTTTAGGACTATGAATCATTTCTTTGGGGGATGGGGTGGGTGGGGGAGGGCATAGATGTATTATGATATTCAAGGTCTAAAATCATGTTATTCATTACTCACTATTTCTGATGTGCCTGATCTCATTTCTGAAGTGTTGTTTGGTGTCTCTGTGTGGTATCATGGTAGTAAGTACTCCATGGGGGCGGTTCATTAAAACCCCATGTCATGGGATGACCCGGGGCCGCTACGGTGCCCCGAACACACCCCCACCCCCTTCAATTGCACCTTCCAAGTTAATTTGACTTTGGTGTCAAAATTTTGATTCCAAAGTCAAATTTAACTTGGGGGTGCAATTGAAGGGGGTGGGGGAGTATGTTTGGGTCGGGCGGGGTGGTAAGAACCATCAATTTAACGAATGGGGCACCGTAGCGGTCTCGGGTCACCCCGTGACATGGAGTTCCAATGTCATGGGAACCCCTCCGATACTCCATATGTGTTTTTCTTAGATCTTAATGTTCATGCTTCAGAATTTTTCCACTCTAAACTCCCCATGCTCCTATTTGTTTGTATTCATTAAAAGCCTGTTTGGATAACAAGTGTGTAATTGCGATTTAGTGTAATTGTGTGTTCTTACTCTTTTCTTCATGTTTGGTTAGTCGCATGATTAAAAAATCAACGTGTAATTGGTGTAAAATTGAAGGGTTTGGATTGCAGTTCCCTGTTCTGATGGGAGGGGGTTGGAATGCAATTACACTCAATTAATTTTAAAAACTCAATTACACTTTTCTGTTACCATTAACCAAGCACATAAATAATACCTGTAGTAATTACTTAGTAATTACACTGACCAGCTAACAGTTTGCAAAATACAAGTTCTGGTAATTACAGTCATGTAATTAGTATCCTGATTACGCAGTTGTGTAATTACAATTCGTTATCCGTACAGGCCCTTACCAAACTTCCTTGAAACTACTTGTTTTAAGCGATCTAAGCACATCAAGTATGTATTTTAAAGAAAATATACACACCATATACTAATCATATGAAGTCAGCAGTTTGCAATCACTCCATCTAAAATGATATCATTTTTAGATAAAACGAGAACAGTTTTTCATTATCACTCAAATGCATTTTCTTGAACTGGGCAGTTTTGTTAACAAAGACCAATAGGAATATTGATACTATGCATATACTTGTGTGTTCATTGATCTCTGCCTTTTCAGGGTAGTGCTCTGGCTGCAGCCGGAGGCGGCAGTTTATCAATCAAACTGTGGGACACCGCCCAATGGCAACACATTATCGACCTATCCATCCCTCGTCCGGAAACCTCTAAGTCGTCTTCAGAGAAAAGCGGCACGAAGAAATTCGTCCTCTCTGTTGCGTGGAGCCCAGATGGAAGACTGATCGCCTGTGGTTCAATGGACGGAACTATCTCTGTCTTTGATGTCCCACGTGGCAAATTCTTGCACTTCTTGGAGGGCCATTGCATGCCAGTACGCTCTCTTGCATTCTCACCTTCCCTACACGATTCGCGGCTACTCTTCTCTGCCTCTGATGATGGGCATGTCCACATGTACGACGCTCAGGGGAAGGCCTTAATCATGCCTCTGTCTGGCCACTCCAGTTGGGTCCTCAGTGTTGATGTGTCCCCTGATGGGGGAGCCATTGCAACCGGATCGAGCGATAAGTCGGTCCGGTTGTGGGACCTTAAAATGAGGGCAGCCACTCAGATACTGACAACACACACGGACCAAGTCTGGGCGGTCGCTTTTGGACCGTCCGAGAAAACCGACCGCGGGTCTTGTATGCTCACCAGCGTGTCAGATGACAAAAGCATTGCCCTCTACCTCTACTCCTAGTTGATCGATTGGTTGCCTTCAAAGGAGGTCTGTTTGTCCACAATCCTTTTTTTTTTCTTTTATTGGGTGTACAATCTCACAGTCAGTCCTTTTGCAGTGTGGTTTCCATCCTTTGTTTTTTTGAGGGTTTTAAAATGCAATTGATACAAAAGGGTTTTGGATTACTAAAGCTTTCATCAAATAGTAGGGTGGGACATGTAAGAGCTATTTTAATTCAAGATTTAGTTGTATCACTCATCTCCCTATGGGAGTGTTATAGCAAATATACCTTCCAAAACAACACTATGGAGGAGATTTTAGCATATAAGGTATCCCTTAGTCCCAATTCGTGTTTTGCTTGTTTTCGTTTCCGGTCTGTCCTTATTTGTTGTGCGTGTTCTCATTTTATTATAGATAATATAATGCGGTTTAAGTTTGCACCTTCGTAATCTCCGTGTCTAGTCAAACTGGCACAAGAAATTATGACCGGGCGGAGTAAGAAGTTTTATATTTCTCCTATATTATTATTATCTCTTTTTGACTTTTGTTTGCCCTAAATTCATGTTCTGGGAACAGACCTTGTCCATCTCCCTGTGCCAAAGTGACAATTAGTCAATTAGATATCGTTTGGTATGGTATGTCGTGAATTTTTGTGTTTCATAGAGGGTAGTTAAGTCCTTACTCCTATCAATATGCAATTCCACAGAGTCATATTTTTTTTGAAAGAAAGATAGAGTCATATTGTTGTCCTTTGCTTTTACACAGCTTTAAAAAGTGTGAAATTTATAGGGAGAAGTTTAGATTTATATATAGAAAAAAGAGATAATTAATTTTTGCCACATATTTTTTTCCTTAAAAATTATGAGAACATGTTTTGAGATGTCAAAAAATAAAAATGTGAATTTAATTTGGAAATGTACAAAATAATGTCATGTCTATATTGATGATAACAACCTAAAATTCTTTTACCACAATATCTCATTCCACAGCTTAAAAGTTTGGAATAGAACTGCTCCGTATTAATTAAGTTTTATGAATATTTTTGTATTTTTATCTATATATAATAACGGATTATATGTTGATTAAAGAAAACCAAGCATATATCATAATTTCACAGAGTAATTAGTTCGCCACTTCATCATTATATTTCGAATATGAAGTTATCATTTTTTTCCTCTCATAGTCGAGTGCATATATTGTACCTTCAGGTGTACAAGATGGTATAGCTGATTAGTACTCAATTTGGGGTATATAATACTCATTTTTCGTACAAAGCACAAGTGTTTATTTTTTGAGTAAAAGAGTAATCCTTTGAAATAATGTAGTATTCATTTTGAATTCTTATTCTGAAGCATCGTAGCATTTACATTTATATATTTATTCATTATAATTATAATATTCATTTGCGAATAATATAAGGTTCATTTTCAAACATTGCAGTTTTTATTCTAAAGCCACTCAATACTCATTCTAAAGATAACTTACTATACATAAATTGGGAGTTCTTGATCAACCTATTGTCAACCATCTATGTTTTCTTCTTCGATCGAACGCCGTCGCCTAGTGCCACCCGCGAGTACAACAACGAGGAGGGGGGTGGCCTCCATCTTCTACAGAAGAGCCGTCGGCTAGGGTTGTCGAGCCGCCATCATCGCCGCCACCACCTTCACTGGTTGTCGATCGCTGTCGGTTATCTAATTTCCGGCCTCCTCCTTGTCGGCATTCCCTTCATCCAGGCACCTCTCTTCCAATCTAATTGCCGATTGTATGGTATATTTTGCGCTCATAGCCTCATCCGTGTTATAAGAAGATTAAAATTTAAAGGGTGTTCTTAAAAATTAACTTCTTTTTAAAATTTGATTTTTTTTAGGGATTTTACTAAAAGGTTACACTCACCATGCCAAATTAAATCAGTTGTTTTGAATTACTATGTTTGACTAAAGTTATATTTAACTCAATTTATTTGAGAATTGGAATGGAAGTACCCCCTTAGCTTCATCCCCCTAAGACCTTGTTTTGACTTCTTATCTATACATATATACATTATTTTAAAAGACATGAATTTTTTCACCGCTCATGCATGACACTCATATATGGAAAGAGTTGACAACATAAAGGGTAGTTTAATTATTTTACCTTAATGTTTTCCTTCCATTTTAAGTATGTTTTTATTTTTATTTTTATTTAAATTTATGTTACACCATTTAAGCATTTAAATTAAATTAAATTAAATAGTAGTGAACCATTGGGGAATTGAAGTATGGAAATAAAACACACTGGCATTTAAATATTAAAATAAAATTTAAAAATTACAAATTAATATAGAATGGGCAGGATTAAAATGATTTATTTCAAACAAACTACAAATTAATTATTTATCATTAAAAAATATTATAATTTACAAGCACAAACGCGTAAAAATGGTAAGTTTCTAAAATAGATTAAAAAACAAATAAGGTACTGAAAGTAGATGATAACATTTAAATAAAAGAATAAAATAAAAAACTACAAATTAATATTAATACTATAATTTAAAAGAATGGAAACGTTTTAAAAATGACAAATGTTCTTATTAGAAAATTAGAAAATAAATAGATATGGTATGGTAAGCAATTAGCACTATTTAAAACGAAAATAAAATAATTGGTAAGTTTTCTAAAATAAATTAGGTCAGTGTTCTAATATAAAAGAGAAAATAAAATACTCCCTCAGTCCCCAATTTCATTACAAATTTCGGGTTACGGAGTAAAATTTCTTACTTTTTGAAATCATTTTATTTACAAATTGATATATCAATAAGATATAAAAATTACATATTAAACAACTACGTCAAAAGTTCTACAAAACAAGAAGTGATAAAAATATTTTATTTTATCAAATACTTAATGAAATTGGGTAAACAAACAAAAGTTATCGAGAGGAGAGAAAAAAATTGTAATCTATTTAGGGACAGAGAGAGTACATCTAAAAATGATAAGTGTTCTAAAATAAATTAGAAAACAATATGGTTTGGTAAGTAATTAGTACGATTTAAATATGAAAATAAATTAAAAAACTGCAAAATTAATATTAATACTATACTTTAAAAACATGATTTTTTTAAAAAAGGTAAGTGTTCAAATTAGAAAATTAGAAAATAAATACGGGATGGTATGTCACCACGATAAACAAATGGTACCATTTAAACACAAAATAAAATAAATGGTAAGTGTTCTAAAATAATTTAGGTAATTGTTCTAAATAAATTAGAAAATAAAATAATTATTAAAACGATAAGTATTCTAAAATATATTAGAAAATAAATACGGTACGGTAATTAAGTAAATGATACCATTTAAATAAAAAAAATAAAATAGAAAACTACAAATTAATACTATCAATTAATACTACAATTTACAAGCATGGTAACGTGTAAAAATGGTAACTGTTATAAAATAAATTAAAAAATAAATATGATACATTAAGCAAATGGTACCATTTAAATGCAAAAATTAAAAAATTATAAATTAATACTATTAATATTATAAGTATGGAAACATGTAACAATGGTATAAGAATTCTAAAATAAATACTATTAATACTATAATTTACAAGCATGGATACGTGTAAAAATGGTAAGTGATCTAAAATAAAATAGAAAATAAATACCATAGGGTAAGTTAATGGTACCACTTAAATACGAAATAAAATTTAAAAATACAAATTCTAAAATAAATACATTAATATGTTGAATTATTACTTAGATAAGTCAAATTATTAAATTATTAAAAAGAACAATATCTGAAACATATTGATTTATTGTTACGGAAACTGGTATTTAGTCATGAGAAAGTGTATGTTGCAGTTTAAAGAGTAATAAATCGCAATGGATTTAAGATTCTGATATACAACGAAGTGAATGCTCACACAAATTATACATACGAGTGATGTAGTTTATAAAGAAGTCTTTCGAAATTTGTAAATCATTTTACTTTTGTACTTTAAAATAATGAAATATCTATATTCCATTATATAACAATTAATATTCCTAAAAATGATCTTAAGTTAGTACCGTAACTATGACCCGTGCAACGCACGGGTGTGATACTAGTAATTTTTAAAGAGAATTGAAAAAAAATAAAAGTTTACCAAACTACTCTTAATGAAAATGAGTGAAGTGTTAATTGAGATGTACTAAATAAAGTAAGGATAATTCTAGAGTAAATTCTATAATTGGTCTTTTATAACATGAGGGTTTCCCTATTTAGTCCTTTATTACCAAATATTACCCCTGTAGTCCTTTTTTTAAGGGTACATTTCCACAAATGGTCTTTTTTTTGATCTTCTGCCGTGTTGGTGTTAATTTGGAGGCTAAAAGTGTAATTTGACATCAACATTATATCTAGTGACGTGTTCTGATATTGGTTAAGCGGATAACACAAAAATAATGATTATGATTGTGGGCTAGGATTCTGACGAAAGATCACATTTGTAGACTATCGTTGTCGTAAAAAGTGACTGTAATTCACAAACGACGCAAACGGAACAGCCTTTGGAATTGTGTATGACAAAAAAAATATACTACCTCCGTTTCTCAAAAGAGTTCCTCTTTTGACTTTGGGGGAAAATAAGGAAGTGTTAAATTGTAGTTGACTTTCCAATTTTTCCCTTGATGTGATGGGTAAAAGTAAGATGTGATAGTTTAGTTGTTAGTGAAAAAGTATGATGTGATAGGTAGGGTATGAAAAAGTTGGGTAAAAGTGGTTTTTTAATAGAAAAGAGAAGTGTTTTAAGAAAAACAAAAAAAATGAAAGAGGAAGAGTTTTAAGAAACGGAGGGAGTATTATCATTATGAAATTACACTTTTAGCCCTCAAATTAACACCAACATGATAGAAGATCAAAAAAAGACTATTTGTGGAAAGGTACCCATAAAAGAAGGGCTACTAGGATAATATTTGATAATAGAGGACTAAATAGGGAAACTCCCATGTTATAAAGGACCAATTATAGAATTTACTCATAATTCTAGTATTTTAAATGTTAAAAAAGTAATGAAAAGATCCATGAGAATCAAGTAAAAGGGGTAATGAGAAGAGTGAGGTACTAAGGGAGTACATATTTAAAATCTAATCATAAAAAATCTACATCATAAGTTTTACATAATCAAGAAATGACATGCCTATAATTTTTATACTCTTATATAAATGAGTAATGAAAATTGATAAAGAGAGTCCATAAACTTTAACTTAGATAAAGCCAAAGCCCATATGGTTATTGTTATATCCTACTTATCACATCATATTTTTTTTACTAATAATCTATCTATCAAATTTTACTTTTATTCATCGCATCAAAAGACTTTTTTGAAAATCTAAAACTAAAATACACTTCTTTTTAATCTTTTAAAAATCAATAATTTCCATGTTTTTAGGACCGGAGGAAGTATATAAATACAGCTGGATCCATCAATTAGGGTTAGTTTGATCTACAAGGAGAGACTCCAATGGGCCCCAACTACTCATAACAAATGAAGTCTATCCATCATAAAACAACACAAAACGGACTACTTTTTTTTAATTTTTAAAAGGGGATTTTACTTAAATAGCACAAAAAGATAATGAATTTCCCTAAATAGCACCACATGTGTTTTTCTTCCAATGTAGCACTTTTAGTCATTATGCATTAGTCATTATTTAAGGAAATATTCATCATTACTGGACATATGGACATTATTAAGTGATATTTAAGAAATAAAACAATTTAAGTGTTATTTAGAGAAATGGCAAGTTTTAGAGCTAAGTTTTATTAAAATTGTTAGAGCTAAGGAATGTCAAGCAACAAAAAAATAAAAATAAAAATATAATTACTGGACGGGAAGTCGGGAACAGATGTTATTAGTATCTTAACTTTGTACTTTAATCACTTTGGGTTCAATCAGATTCAGATCTAGATCTGGTCTGAATACATTCGATTTGGTTTAGTTTGCTAGACGAGCATGCATGCTGGGGCTCAGTTTCGTGTTTGGCCATGCCACCAATAATATAAGAGTAAGAGCTGATCGGTGGCGGCGCTACACCGGCGGCGGCGCGTGCACAGGGCCCAACTCGGTTGCTTGTCTTCCTCTGGCTGTTCGGCGACTATTATAATTATAACTACTATAGCTTCTCCTGCGGTAGTCCATATAATCAGAAATGCTCTCCCAAAGATAAAGCACAGCGGATACTGCAACCACCACAAAAAGCAACCAGGATAACACACTCAACGTCGTCATCACCCCCTTTGAAAGGGGCGAAGACGGTGGACAGGCGGCGGCGGCGTGGTCTCCGCCGCATGAATTGTATAGATGGTAAAAGTATAGGGAGTATGTAGAGTACGGACTAGACATCTTTTACTCTCTTTTAACTTAACGTAAAAGCATGACCATGCATGCATATAAATATAGCATAGGATCAATTAGGGTTTTACGAGGGGATGTCTAATGGGCCCCAACTTACTCCCTCCTTCCTTCCCGGAACTACTGATATTACACAACACTATACGGAGTAGGAAAGCTTTTTATTACTCCCTCCCGTACCTCTAAGATGTTCTCATTTTGATTTTTAGTGGTTTTTAAAGAGAGTTAAAAAAAGGTAAAAGTTTACCATAATACCCTTAATGAAAATGGATGGAGTGTATTAAATGAGGTGGGTGAGGTGTAATAAATAAAGTAAGTAAGGGTAGTTGTGGTATTTTAGTTGTTAAAAAATGAAATGGGAAGATCTATTGTGGACAAATAAAAAGGGCTATTGGAAAGATCTATGAGAGACGGAGGGAGTATTATTATTACTCCGTAGTATTTTGTTATTCAGGTTTATACTTTAAAACTGTGTTTGCCAAGAAAAGTACAGATTTTATTAGTATCTTAACTTTGTACTCTCTCTCTCTCCCATATCCATCTTTATGTTGCGCAATACGAAGAAAAATCTTAAATTTTTTCAATTTATTTCATATAAATATTGGTATAGAATTAATAAAATAAAACATTCATATTTAAAACTACATCAAAAGTTCAACAAAACAAGTGGTGAAGAGAATATTTTACTTTATCATATAGATAATGAAAAAACACATATAAATAAAAGTTTACGTGAAATTGGAATAATGCTCTGTACAAAAAGATATGGGACAGAGGGAGTGCTTCTTAATAGTGAATACTCCGTATATAATTAGCATTTTAACCTGTGTCATTCTCCGTTCTAACTATTAGATGGAGCAGGCCGGTTCAATCATATATGTTTGTGTTATTAAGTTATTTAAAAATACTCCGTATTAAATAGCGTGTAAATTAATCGACAAAATTGCCATGTTAGTCATTTTGGTCAAACAGTGGGATTCTTTAACTATAAACAAATCACAGTCACAAACTAATTAACTCAGGCAATTTCATCTCTCTTTTAACAAGAATCCATTGCATCCATATAGATAGGTCAATTAGGGGTAGTTCTACAAGGTAGAGGAGACTCCAATATAGGTACATTTTTAGTAGTAGTAATAATAATAATAATAATAATAATAATAATAATAATAATAATAATAATAATAACAATAATAATAATAAGTTACTATTACTTTCCTATACCACTATGGCACTCTATGTTAACTTTTTTTTAACTAGATTTTACCCGTGCGTTGCACGGTAAGTAGTTTATTTAAAAGTGTAAATTATAAAAACTTCATTAAATTAAATGTCTGTATACAAACTTAAATATAGAATTAAATATACTCCATATAGATTCAACATGATATATACTTCCTCTATCCCATAAAAACTTAACTCGTTTTGATTTCGGAAAAATTACGAAGTATTAAAAATAAAGAGCAAATTCCATAAATAGTTCTTAATTAGTGATTTTCCATATTTAATATCCAATTATAAGATATTACATAAATGATCCTTAATTTTTAAAAATAATTTCATAATTAAAAAGTGTGTTAATAAAAATAAAAAAAACCACTTTAGAAAATACTCCGTAGTACAATTATACATTAGTAGTATTAAAATATGTATTTTTTTTAATGTTATCGACTTGGTTACATTATACTCCGTAGTACTATCAATTTATAATATTAGAATATACATATTTCCTTCATAACGAAAATGTTATGAAGCACTTATATTCAGCGAATATGAAAAAGGGTAAAGCATAGCATATCCCCCAGAGCATCTAATAATGTATGAATAACTAAAATGTATTTTTATTTCTCAAGGATACATCTAATGTTGTATGTGTAAATGCTTCATTAATTTCCATGAAAACACATACATACACATACTTTATACATTTGAAAGTAAAGTAAAAGCAAAACCCACTTGATAGGGCTGGGGCATACAATACTCCAATACCAAACACAAATAAGCATACAATAAAACTCAAAAGAGTGAATATCCCAAGAGTATAAATTTGTCAAGGTTTAGGATGCCCAAAAACAAAGCTCGAAAAGACAAAAAGTAGTTTCCAGACTGCCTTCCTCAAGCATAGTTGTAGAGATGTCACCAATCTTTTAGCAAAAAAATAAAAGCTCCCTCCTAGTGTTATCTCTCCTCCAAAAGAAATCCCAAAACTCAAAATCTATTAGGATGAGCCCTGCATTAATAGCCATTGAAAGATGAACAATCAGAGGCCCTGGCCTATATTTTGATGCAATTACATACACAAAACTGATAAAATATAAAATACTTAGAACTTAGTGCAGATTCAAACTCTTGAACTTGAAGATTCCCATCTCAAAACAACTAAAATCACATGACTCTAGAAAATTCTTACCAAAAAAACCTCATCAACATTTTTGTAGAATCTATATAAATACAATGTTTAGGGCATCACTACTGGAAAATGAAAACATGAAAGAAATAATGATGTTCAGATCACCAGATTGAAGAACATGCAATTTTTATTACCATTTGGAATCTTAGGCAAAAGAAAAAATCATGCTGAAACTTTGAGGCTCTGTTTTTTGATATATCATAACATTTTTCAATAAAGACTAACATAGACATTTGCCAGAATAGACATTTTATATATTTAGCATGTAATTTTTCTTCTTATTTTGAAGAATGCCTTCTTTTGAAAAATGACTTATATTAAAAGGTAAACAAACTTTTTAAGAAAACAAAAATCACATACACACACATGAGATTTGAAGAAGCTAAGGAGATGAGCTAATAGTTTACACTAAAGTTTGACATGTCATAGTGCAATGTAATGCTCAGATCCTATAGAGACAGAGAGTATGTGAGGCTTACTATGTTGCTTTTACTGTTATATTGTTTGCAAGTCTGTAGTTTTTTCTCATGTATCTTCTTTAATCTTTTTTCTCATCAGATTCTACACAAAAATAAAAATATAGAGAAGTCATGTATGTTGCTTAAATTTCTCAATTTGATTACATGCCTTTGTTTGGAAGCAACATTTGGGTTTACCTTTGAAGTCTTATGGTCCTTTCACTCCTTTGTCCATCAACTTCTTCTCCAATATTTGTCTCTCCCTCAAGCCTAAAGGAACTTGAAAATAAAAAATATCAAAAATTTGACCTTAATTTCCCGGCCGCCGGTTTCCCATTATTTGTAATTGGAATGATACATAGAAGATTAGCATGGCCCATGCGCAAGGATTACACGCAGAAATAAAAAATGGTCCTACTTTCTTGCTGATTGTTCCATGCTTTTCTACTGCATTTTGGGTTTCAACATGCAGATTTTGGAAAATAGAAATAAATACACTTTTGTTTGATGAAGATAATAAAATTGTAGTTGTTTAATTCCATATCAAACTTAAGAATCTTAATATACCAAGAATCTATTTTTTGTATCTTAATAGCAATGATTAGAATAATTAATCAATCCATCACTGCAATGTTTGAGTTCATGAGTCAAAGCTTGGGGGGTAGAATTTAAAGTTCATACTTAGGATATCCTTTGATGTGAAGCCAAAAACTGTTGGCTTGATGAACATAGATGATGTTAATGTTTCCCAGGAATCAAACAAAAGATGGAGGATTGTAGGTTTAGGTAAAATATTTGGCAAAGTTAGTATATTGAGGAATAATTCTTAAGGGATAATTCTTAGAACTGGCTTCCAAAACATTATACTGGACAGCTTCATTCATCTCATCCTTAACATTTTGATGTCATCAATCTTGACATATACTACTCTGTCACAATATTTTTGAGATTTATTTAACAAACCCTAAACTTATTTTAAGATAAAGCTACAAAATTGATGAAATTAAAATACAATTGATATGGAGATATATAGAAGTATAGATGGAAAGATGATAGGTTTAAAACCTTAATTATGAAAAAATATATGAAGAAATTGATGAAATTTTTATGTACAATACCTGCTGTGTCGAATGTTGAAGAACATGAACAGTACTCTGGTAACTACCTCCACCTTTTCCATTCTCAAGCGACAATGTTCCCACAGGTTTCTTTGTCTTCTCTGTTTCATTCCCACTGCTTCTAAGAATCCGTTTCGTCCCTGACATTGCACCGGATATTAATAAGCCCTTATATTTCCAAGAATTATCCGTTAAGAATAGTGATAGAATTTGTTTCACATATTTAAATTACTCTCTATTATGCTAAATCGAAATGGTCTAACAATTGTTTATACAATTACTTTTAAAAATTTACTATGTGTTATGCATAAAAAAATTACTATAAAAATTAATATGAACAAATTAATGTGAAGTACAACCTTCAAGGAATTAACATTGAAGGGATGCAAGTAATTTCTTATCTGTCATAGTCTAACAAATGTTTTAATTACCAATGAAAATTGAAAAACCTTCTGAGATGAAATCTAATAATAGATTGACAAAATAATTATGAAATATATACGGGGAACATGTATAAATGAAAAGAGAAAGATTTGGAACCATAAATTGAGATTGTTTTTGAAGGAATCTTTCCAACTCTTGCACCATCTCCTTGCTGAGACCCCTATATTTGTCATTGTCATCTCCAAATTGAGTCATATTTGTATTCTTATTTGACAATTTTACAGAAGAGATCAAGAGATGAAGGAGCAATTAACAAATTTACAGAGATATGTTGGACAATTAAAAAAAACTGAAGTTTTGAGAAAGGGTGTACACATTGACCTAGGAAGAATTGGAAGGAGGTGATTAGGCAGGATTTAGAACTTCTCACCCTGACTGAGGATATGGCTTTAGATAGGAACCTTTGGCGGACTAGGATTAAAGAAGCTGGTTAGGAGCGCGGTGCTGCAGAGGTTTTTTGTAGTGTGTTGTGTTTGATTGGAATCTTCTACTTTTGCTTGCTGGACTTTCATTTCCTTGTACTTGGTGCTTTATCCTGTTATATCCTGTTATATCCTGTTACCTTGTTATATTGTGTTCTCTATCATATTTTTGTGCAGGTTGAGCCGGGGGTCTCTTGGAAACAGCCTCCCTACTTCCGAGTAGGGGCAAGGTCTGCGTACACACACCCTCCCCAGACCCTACTGTAGTGGGATTCAACTGGGTTGTTGTTGTTGCTGTTGATTGTTTAAATAAAGTTTAACAATATAACATCCACCCCCAGTGATTTAGGGTTCACCAGTAGTAGTCAGCAAGAAGGTTTTATTGTCTCTATGGGTGCAGCTGATGAAGAATTGGAATTAAAAAAACAATAATGATAGCTTAATATCAATGGCCTTGAAATCCTCTTATAATACTGATTGAAGAGTGAAACTACAATGCTAAGAATGCACTCAATATTAAAATTAAACTCTTTCATGTTAGAAGTTAATCTGAAAATGTTGATGATTAAAAAAAACCATGCGGTGAAATCAATTGGCAAACCACGGCAAAATCTTGAGTATGAGATAGAATTAACTAATGAAAAAACAATTGAGACACACCTGAGGTAGCCGGTGGTTGCCGTGTCTTCTTCATTGAGGTTGTCGGCCTCTGCAATTCATTGTGAGCGATAGAAATGAACCATAGGTGTCGTCTGCATTTATAAAGCACAGATCGATGATGCCAAAGAAATAGGCGCAAATAAAATCGTCGACGTCGTCTGTGTATTCTCCAGATCATCCGCCTTTCTCCATTGATGTCGTATATACAAACCGTCACCCATTAAATAGTCCCCATTAACGCACGGTTACGGAAGAGGATGCTAGAGTTCCCGCTCAAAAAAACATCCTGGATTGAAACCTTAATTATGAAAAAATGTATGAAGAAATTGATGAAATTCAGATGTACCATAGCCGCTGCGTCAAAGTTGAAGAAGATGATGAACAGTACTTTCGCAATGACAACCTCCACCTTCTCCTTCTTTCTCAGGTTGCTCCCTTCTCTCTGTCTTCTATGCTTCCATCGCCGTTTAGTGGGTGGTTACTGGTTAGGACTTTGGCTGCGGTTGTTTAATTACACATACCCGAACCGACGTAGTATTCTTACAGCAGCGGGAAATTTTTCCTGCTGCTATTGTAAATAGGAAGATAATAATAATAAGTCAGTTTTTAATTTTTCTTTTTTGATATCTGTGAATTATGGGTTTCGAAATTAGACAGTGTCCATCTGAGTGGGGACAAGGTTGAGCCAAAGTGACAATTAGTTATCCTTTGGCATCTTTATCTCATGAATTATTGTGTTTCGAATAATAATGGTGGTTACAGGAGCGGCCTGTATATGCATTTTTTTGAATTGTGGTCATTCAAATTTCAAAGAGCTCTTCTTTGGCTTAGGTCCTTAGTCAAGATTATTGAAGAGAGAGAGAGACTGAGGGATAAGAAATTGTGTGGAGCACCGTTTTAGTCCTTTTATAACACGGTTTCTTTACACTATGTTTGGCTCAAGGATTTTGGAAGGAAAAGAAAAGAAAATGGTTTTCTCTCATTTTCCTCACCAAAATGGAAGGAATTTGGTTTTCCCTCCACTTGGTACATTTTGCCTCCTCATTTTCTTTTCCTTCCACTTTTCCTTTCTTTTCCCCTCTAACCAAACAAGAAAAATGGTTTTCCACTTCATTTTCTTTTCTTTTCCTTTTCAAATTCCTTGAACCAAACATAGTGTTAAAGTTATCTATGAGAAAAAAAGATAACTTTAACCTTAAATAAAAAATTACTCCCGAGTAATTCGAGTTTGTAAAAGTAGTTCACAGGTTCGTGCATTTTCAAAAAGACATCATGAAACTTATATTTTGTTGTAAAGCTTTTGGGAAGAAATGTTCCATCCACCAGTCTCTTAATAACTGTGAAAAAAAGTATATTTAATTTCCTATTTTTTCACTTACTTTAGTCATTTTAATTGCATTTATTTTTGTATATCAAACGAATATTTTTGAATTTTTGAAAAATGCTTACATAAAAAATTGAAAAAAAAATGGAAAAAGAAAAATAAAGAAAATAGAAAGTAAAAAGTGAAGACATGGCCTGAGGTCGTCTATTAACATAAAAAGAAATCATTCTAAATAGAAATAAAACATAGAGAAAGTATCAAAATAGAAGCTCCATTTTTTATTTTCAAATAGGAGTTCTCACTATAGTAATGTGACATTGCATATGGACATTTCGCAATATTTTTTGGTAATGTGCATGGTCATTATTGACACTCCAAATGCATTTTAATTTCTATTTCGGGAATAAACACAAGAAATTCATATTTTAGTATATTTTTAATGTTTAAATCTTACTTTCGTCTTTTTCCCTAACATAAAACCATTACAGACAAAATAAGAAAAATACTCCCTCTGTCCCATTTTAAATTGTCTGTTTTATTTTTTTCTCCGTTTCAAAATAAATTGCATGTTTCTTGTTATCATAAACTTTTAAGAGTAAAAAATAAGTCACTCTTCTCCACCTTATCTTCTCATTCATCGTCACCCGTCCAAAAAAGTAATGGTAATTTCGAAAAATCAACTCTATTTTTTCTTCCTTAAATATGTCCCGAAATCAAAATGGGCGATTTAAAACGGAACGGAGGAAGTACTTTTTTAATGGTCATATTAATAGCTGGTGGGCGTTGCCTGCCGTTGCGCAGTTGGCAAGGCAAGAGGTGTCAAGGGGGTAAGATCCGAGTTCGATTTCTGGTAACTGCGCTGGGAGACAACTTTGCTAAGCATAAGGCCTGTGGAAGTATCAGGTGCATGCTTCATTCTTTGCTACAAATTAAATCTAAGATTAAAGTCTAATTTACCTCCTCTCAGTGACCATCTGGCTGGTCTTTGGTGGTCCTCAAGAATGAAACTCATCCTTTTTTTAATGCTCATTAACAGGTTAATAAATGAAATGTCACATCCAATAAATCTTTACAATAAAAAGTTATGGCCTTTGATGTCTTTTCTATAACAGAGAAAGCTGCAAAATATTTTAACAATACCTGCATTATCACTAATTAAATTATGATTTTAATTCTCTCCAAACCAAATTTGTTTCAGATTTTAAAACATTTATCCCAAATTTTATAACTCGTATATTATCATCTCCCCAAAACTCACCAAACGAGCCCTAAAGAGTATTGAGTTTAACAAAGGAGTCACGGAAAAATATTTTTTCATCAATTTTTCTAATAATTGGCAAAATTTTAATTTTAATTTTTAATTTCTCGAATCAAACACAGTATAAAAACATATTAGACCATTCATTATCCACAAAGGTTTTTTTCACATGCAAAGAATCTCACTTTCTTTTTCAATATAAGTTTTTTATTAAAATTGAAGAATAATGTAAAATAAATTTCAACTCTTTTATTTTTATTGTTAATTATAATCCTTTTTATTTTTTGTATTTTTATTCATCTATTTTTATTAATAGATTCGATAAATGGTTTTACTTAAGTTTTTTAGATTGTCACAAATTAATCTTTCACTTTTTGAGAAGCTTTTTGTGACCTTCTATGAATCACTTTTAAGTAGGGATGTAAACAAATCAAATATTTTAAATTCGATTCGTGATTTGTATTCGAATATAATGATTCGAATTCGCATTATTCAAATTCAAATTCAAATTCAAATATTATTTTTGATTCGAATGTTAAACAAATACAAATACAAATAGGGATATATTCGATTCGGATGATATTCGAATATTCGAATATATGTATATATACACAGACCATGTTTTCAACATCAAAAGTCAAGCAAAGTAATATAGTATAAAGTGTATTTAAATTACTAAGAATTCAATAAATTAACGTCACACGAAAATCTAAAGCATATGATTTTTAATAGTTATATTTTATAAAATATAATTTGTGTAAGATGCAAATGTATTAATGTTTTTAGATACGGAATATAGTATATTATAAGGAGTATCGTAAGTTAAATTACAAATCGATGTTGGTCCATCATATAAATGACATAGTATGATTATTCAAATATTCGTTTAAGATTCGATAATTATTCGAATATTAATCAAATACTTATTCAAATCTTATTTTGAATTCGTCTCATATTCGGATTCGGATTCGTATTCGAAAAAATTAAACAAATACAAATTCAAATATCTTAGTATTCGCTTCGATTCGGTTCGTTTACACCCCTACTTTTAAGTATACAATTTTACTTTTTTTAAACATTGTTTGCACCCCCAACAAAAGCTTCATCTTTTTTATAATTATTTTAATTAAAATTTTGTATAGTAATAAGAACTATACGGTTAAAAAATACATAAAAATTTACAAGACACAACAATAAGTAAGGAGTTATTGTAGTCCAGATTGAGATTGACGGAAGAATGGACAGATTGTCTCTCGGAGTTAGTTTTCGGACAATTAACGATATCACGGAGTATATTTTTAAAAAGATGAGATACGTGAATTCTTATCACAAAATTGATGGTACCTTCAGGTTTCATTTGACCCATCCGCCCATATATACTTTTCCTAAAAGTGAAGCCTTTGTTAATGCACGAGACAAATTGCATATTTCCCTGCGGTGACAAACACAATTAAGGAAATATGGAGGACCCACCTTGCAAAACACGATACTTGACTTCCGTGACTTCCCGTCCATTTTCCCGTTTAAACTTTGAACTCAGAGAGAGAGAGAGAGAGAGAGAGAGAGAGAATTCAAAGCGGAGCCTTTCAATCATCGCTTGTTTGGCCTTCATTGTAAGTATATATTTTCGCTATGAGCAATCTTTTCTTCTTCTTCTTCTTCAGTTCAATTTATTTCAGAAAACGTAATTATACATACTTTATTGTACTCCTTAATTACTCCGTATGTATGTTATGTGTTGATATCAAGGCGATAAAACCTATGAATTAAATCTGGGTTTTTTTTCCTTAGTCTTAAAACTCATCATTTTCAATTGCTGAACCCTTCCTAATTTTCAACTTAATTTGATTTTTTGTTGGTATTTCGAATTGTCAATTTGTTTTGTTCTGATTACGCTATATACATTGAATGTTTTGAAAAACAAATTGTAGTTTTGGGTGGAAGATGTTGTCAAAACGTGAATCTAGGAAGAAGATTGGTGAAAATTCTGGAGCTGGGAAGTTATTAGATGACATTGAAACTATCAGTAAAGCTTTATACCTGGATAAAGCCCAGCCCAGATTGTTAATGTCTACTGTGAGCAGCCGGTCCAAGTCTGTTGGAAAACCCGATTTACCCGAACCAAAATCCAAAAGTAAGGGAGTGAACAAGGATTTGTTGGAGAAGGATAGCAAGAAGTCTATTTGGAGCTGGAAAGGGATTAAGGCGTTGGCGAATGTTAGAAACAGAACTTTCAATTGTTGCTTCTCCCTCCATGTCCACTCTGTTGAAGGCTTACCGGTGTTGTTTGATAGCTTTAGCCTGGTTGTGCATTGGAAGAGACGGGATGGGGAGATGATGACTCACCCAGTTAGGGTTCTTCAAGGGGTAGCTGAGTTTGAAGAACGGTTGACATATTCATGTTCTGTTCACGGGAGCAGAAACGGGCCCCATCATTCTGCAAAGTACGATGCGAAGCATTTCTTGCTGTATGTTTCTGTTTATGGTGCTCCTGAAATGGATTTGGGGAAGCACCGGGTGGATCTTGCCAGGTTGCTTCCACTTACGTTGGAGGAACTCGAAGACGAGAAGAGTTCTGGGAAATGGACTACTAGTTACAGGTTATCAGGGAAGGCTAAGGGCGCAACTTTAAATGTCAGTTTTGGGTATTATGTACTTCATGGGAATGATTCTACCAGCAAGGATGTCTGTGAGAAGCAGGCCACAGAAAGGCGTCCAAGGAGCATTCCTGCAATTTCTGGCTCTTCAAGTTGGCCCACAGAAGACATAAAGGATCTTCATGAGGTTTGTGTGTCAAAATCAGATCTTTCTAAGTCGGTGAACGTTCTCTATAGGAAACTTGATGAAGAGAAGATAGATGACTCAGCTAATGGTAAACAAGAGAATGGTTTTACCCCTAATGATGATATTGAGAGTTTAAAACCGGATTCAAAAGGAAATTCTGAAAATGAATGTGAAACTGGTGAGTTTTTTGTTATGGGCCAAGGTTTAGAAATTCCCTTGAAGGAACAGGAGAAACCAGAAACTCTAGCTATTGATTCTATAGAAGGCTGTGTTGAGTCTGACGATGTTCTTGAGATTCCTGCTGAACTTCTGGAAAGTGATCTGGGATTGGAAGTTCAGATGAAATGCACTAAAGAATCAATAATGGAGGAATTGGACTCTGCATTGGCAATCGTCTCCAAGTTGGAAAATGAAGGATCTCATTCTCAAGACGACAATGAAATATCAAATCTAGATAGTTACTTGGGCATTATTCAAGAAAATGATGATAAGAAAGGGAAATCCCACAGCTTAGATGATATAACACAATCTGTGGCTACTGAATTTCTTGATATGCTTGGCATAGAACATAGTCCGTTTGGATTCAGTTCAGAAAGTGAGCCGGAATCCCCCAGAGAGCGCCTGTTGAGGCAATTCGAGAAGGAGGCTCTTGATACAGGTTGTTCCTTGTTCAACTGTGGTGAAATAGATACCACGAACACTTCTGGGGACTTTGGTTTCGTCTCAGCCACTAATTCTTATGTGGAGGCTTTGCCTAAGATAGAAACAAATGAAACAAGAAACAGAACAAATGCCTCTATGTTGGAGGACTTGGAGACCGAAGTTCTGATGCACGAATGGGGTCTGAATGAAAGAGCTTTTCATCATTCCCCTCCTAAAAGCTCCAGCGGGTTTGGCAGTCCGATTGATGTGGAAGCACCAGAGGACCTTAATGGATTGCCACCTCTGGGAGAGGGACTAGGCCCCTTTCTTCATACCAAAGACGGAGGCTTTCTGCGCTCAATGAATCCTGCTCTTTTTAAAAAGGCAAAAAGTGGAGGGAAACTCAGCATGCAGGTGTCTAAGCCGGTGGTGGTTCCAGCGGAAATGGGGTCTGGTGTCATGGACATACTACAGCATTTGGCCGCCATTGGTATTGAGAAACTATCAATGCAGGCTAATAAGTTGATGCCGTTGGAAGATATAACAGGGAAGACAGTGCAACAAATTGCTTGGGAAGCAGCTTCCAGCTTGGAAGGATCTGAAAGGTCTGTATTTTTATTAATGGAAAAACAAAATCTGATACGCAACGGTCTAGTAATTGTGAAAACAGAGCATTTTGAAAAAAAAAGGTTGCAGTTTTTATCCAAAAAGTATTATTCCAACCATCTCAAAAATTAAAAGATTCATGATCCAAACCTTATTTTTGTCTTAAAAAAGTCCTATATTAACAACAGAAGCTAATTTTCATTGTATTATTGTAGTTTTTTCCAAAAATGTTCCAAACAAGTTAAACATGCTTAAATTTAGTTTAGCAAACTAACATATTCTGAAATACATATTAAAAATGGATGATTTACGAGTTAAACCTTCCCAAAATTAAAGTGTATCTTGATAAAACAGTCTCCTTTGTTTTCGGACGGATGCAGTAGTCCTGAGGTCAAAAGTAATATATTTCACCATGAGACTTTCTTTCACTAGTTTTTCCATAATTTTTTTTCTTTCGCATTAATAGTCTTTTTTTAAAGGCAGGTACCATTTTATTCTAAATGACATCCATTTTATAATTCTGCATATTACAGGCTCGGTGAATGTGAGGATAGACAGAACATGTCGAGTTTTCCAGATGCAATTAAAGGGAATCTGCACGAGTATGAGCCAAACACCATTGGCAACAAAGTGGATACAGAGTACCTTTCCCTAGAAGACGTTGCTCCTTTAGCCACAGATAAGATTGAGTCCCTTCTAATAGAGGGGTTGAGAATACAGTCTGACATGTCAAACGAGGATGCCCCTTCAAACCTAACCCCACAGCCAGCTTTTGAGGGTATGGTCAGTCTAGGTGGGCCCACGGGTCTGGAAGGAGCGGGCGGGTTACACCTTCTTGACATGAAAAATGCATGTGAGGATGGCAATGACAATGACGTGGATGGGCTAATGGGGTTGTCTCTATCGCTAGATGAATGGATGAGATTGGACTCAGGAGAGGTCTATGATGATGATGAGATCAGCGAGCGTATGTCGAAGCTGCTTGCTGCTCACCATGCTAACTCCATGGACCTGATACGCGGAGGATCAAAAGGACGCGGCAAGGGCAGGAAGAAGTCTTTTGGTCTGTTGAGCAATAACTTCACGGTGGCTTTGATGGTTCAGCTTCGTGATCCTTTGAGAGATTATGAGCCGGTTGGAAGGCCTATGCTTGCCCTGGTTCAGGTGGAGAGAGAATTCCTGCCACCTAAGCCTAGAATCTACTGCTCAGTTTCTGAACTTAGAAGCAACAATGGAGATGGAGATGATGGGGAAAAACTGGAAGGAGAAGAAGAGTGTGGGAGTGTGAAAAAAGAGGAAACTGTTGTAACTGAACTGGAGGAACAAAACATTCCACAGTACAAAATAACAGAAGTGCACGTCGCGGGTTTGAACAGCGAGCAAGGTATTAATAATAAGGCGACGACGAAGAAGAAGCTGTGGGGGACCACGACTCAGCAACAGTCTGGGTCCCGCTGGTTGCTCGCCAATGGGATGGGAAAGAAGAACAAGCACCCACTTATGAAGACAAAAGCTGCTGCTGGTGGTGGTGGTGGTAGAGCAGCGGCATTGCCGCCAGCATCAACCACAGTGCAGCCAGGGGAAACTCTGTGGAGTGTGTCGTCTCGCGTCTATGGGAGTGGGAGCAAATGGAAGGAGATTGCTGCGTTGAATCCTCACATTCGGAATCCCAATGTCATCTTCCCGGGCGAAACTGTCAGATTGATGTAGAAGAACACTGGTTGAAGGGTGTAGTGAGACATGTCCAGAAGAGTGAAACGAAGTGTATGTATGAAGAAACCTTCGGCCGGGGAAGAAGATGAACTGATGATGATATATATATTTCTTTATTTCTTTCTTTTCTTTCTTAGTTTCAGGAAACAATTTGTGGCCATTAATCTGTTGGCTTTACAAATGCATTTTGCATGTGAGTATGTGCCTTTTTTTTTCTATTAAAAAAAAAAGCAACATTTAAAAAAAAAAGCAACATTGCAAGCCTGTTCTGCTGTTTATTTCACATTCTTGATTCTTGAATGTTAATACTCCGTACATGGTTGCACTATGTACAATTTTAAAATTTTTATCAATAATATTTCCATATTTACTTATTTTTTAATTAAATTTTAACATATTAACATGTTTTTTTACATATGAAGTGCTTTGTTTTATTTAAAAACATTTGCCGTGGTGAACATCAACAGTTTTTTTTTTCTTTTCCAAGTTTGACTCTTTTCATGAGATGAAAATATGGTTATGAGAGGACTCTTTTAATGTGATGAATGGAGCACAAACTTCTTGAATAAAGTAAATTAATCTGCAATTTTTTTATTCAATTAATCTGCAATTTTTTTATACAATTAATCTGCAATTTATTACGCCTTCCATTCAAAAAAAAAATGTACAGAGTATCCATTTTGAGGGAGCACAAATTTTAATTAAAAATATATGATAGAAAGGCTAGACTTTGATTAAAAAAACACATTTTCTGGGGCTAGAAGAGATTAATTACTCTGTATTTACTTTATTTAAATGACTTAAACGTTTTGTATTTCAAGAAGCTTGAAAATATATGGAGTAACTTGAAAATAACCAAAAGAAAAAAAAAAGAACAATCAATAAGGGGAAAGAAAGGAAACCATAGTGATTAGTGATTGCAATGTGAGATAACATTAATCAATCGCCGTGACAAACGGTCCTTACAAGACTAAAACAAACTATGTCCAACTTTTGAAACAACAACTACTACATAGTAAATAAATTATCCTGAAAAACAGAAAACAAAAAACAAAGACCAGACAGAACATCAATACAGATGATGCCTTATCTGATGTGGCGGCGTCGACCGTGGAGATTTCTAGCAGAAGCTCGGCAGCACCAGACAAATGCAACAAAGTTAAAACCCAGCGCGTGGAGGTGGAGCAAAGAACATCATCATCATCCATCATGACATCATCATTTGTCATCATCATCATCAAGGCCGTGCCCTCTTGTTACTGCACGACGGGCATTTGTACTGTTTAATGTGTTCGGCCCTGGCGGGCGTGATTTTCACACACTTCCCATGGAACCATTTCTCGCATATGTCGCAGAAAATCCAAAAGTCATCTGCCCCAGAGTTCTCCCCGCAGGCCCCACACAAGGTGTCGCCATGCTCATCCTCTTCCTCATCATCTTCTTCTTCTTCAAATCCATCTTCCTCTTCCTTTGCTTGGACCTTTGAGTACTTGCCCTGCTGAGTATCCAAATGTGACACTACTACTTTAATACCAAAACTGTCTTACTGACTGAAGATGCAATGGCATGAAATGAAAAGTGAGGGCATGTTTGGTACTCTTTGAATAGAAAAGTGTAGAGTTGTGCCCTAGAAAAAAAGTTGGTTTGGTAATTTATGAATAGAAATTTGCTTTGGATGCAGAGATGTTTGGTACCGAGTGTGAGTGTTTTTCAGCTAAATAACTAACAGTTTTGTCAGAAACTAGATGTGGTTCGAAATCAACTTTTGATTGCTTTGGTGTTCGAGTTATTTTTCACCAAACCAACTTTGGAGGAAAAATTGTTGCAGCTTAAAAGTCACAGCAATATTAAACTTATTGTCAGTTCTGTTTTGGAAAGGGAAGGCACCTTAGAGTTTGATTTTGATTTGCTGCTGCTATTGTTGTTGGTGACTGATGATTTGTCTTTGACTTGCTTTTTGGCAGCTCCAGTTACAACTTCAAACAGAGTGGGGAGTTCGTTTATCATACTGAACAGCCTTTTCCTGCATTAATAGGAAACCCCCACTTAGAACTAAACTACCTTCTTGTGACCACACGTCGTTCATCAAACAAAAGTAAAAAATAGCTATATTAAAGGAAAGTTCACACATTACTACATCGAATATGAATCAAAAATGAAAAGTGAAGATGTGTACCTGTCAGTTTTGTCAAAACCAAATCTTGCTCCAAAGTAGAAAGCAACAGAAAGTAGCCAAGCATCACTGTGAACAGCAACAAGAGAAACCCAGTCTTTTTCCTGCATACCATCTCTGGCAAAGTTAATGCCTAATGCCGGCTCTGGAAGTTCCGGAGGCACCTCCTCTGCAGGCAAATTCACTTCCCACTGTTCACTGGGAAAACCATAAAGGCAAAGGTTTTCCTTCTCTGCAGGGTTGTCAGAAAATTCAAACACACATTAGAAATAATTCTCCAAACAATACTGTGTATATGTTAACCCGTATCTCTCTCTCTCTCTCTCTCTCTCTCACAGTTTCAAGAAGCACTAAAGTGATGAACTATGTCAGCCACTGACAGCTCTCAAAAACAGAAAAAGGTTGTAATTTTCAAACTATAAGGAAAGCATTGTTTATTCAATGGCCCAAAAAAACACAAAGAAACAGAATAAAGAAAATTTGCTTCATAGGCGTACAAAGAAGCATAAATACCCACTGTTGAAGATATATAACAAAGGGAGGAAATGTATGCATTTGAGCCTTACCATTATAAGCATAAAATGAAAAGCAATGATGTAAATTATAATTATGAACTCAATTCTTAAAGCCCTCAATGATACCAAGTTCGCAGCTATGATAGGAAACCGGTGAATTGAAACGATACACAGAGAGACAATCGTTACCACTGACGTGAAGCAAGTTCGGAAGATCAAGAACAATGGTTTCATGTGTAGATTAGGCAACTCCAAGTGAAAATGATACTGAATGCAATGCTTCATTTCATGGATGCACATCTAACTAAACTCACTTGTAACCTTTTCTATCACTTCACTGGTTCCATCCAATGGAATGGTTTCATCCCAAAAAAGAAAGGAACCAATGTGACATAGTAAAAGAATGAAAAATGAACTAAACCAAAACAAAAGGAAATCTTGTTGAACTACAAACAGGTTAACAAATGGGGATAAAATCACAAATGAATGCATCTAGCTAGGTTATGTCTCTCCACCCAAGAAATGAAAAATAAATCCTCTCTAGACTTTAAGAACCTGATTCTCAACTATGTTGCATAAAAGTTATATACTCCATTTTAAAGTCTGCAGCCAATGGCAGTGCTATACAAATTTAATCCATAAAGATAGCCTATTGCAGGCAAATGTAATTAATTAAAAAAGGCACATAGCTATGAACACATAAACAACATTGTTTATTCTAATACCAAAAAAATTCATTTTTTATCAAATTAACCGAAAAAATCGCAAATTGTTACAGCTCAAACATCACAGCACATTCAAAACCAAAACATCCAAACAAGTGTTTACCCACAAGTGACAACCATCCATTTCATTTTATCTCATATTAATAAGTTGTGCTCCAGTAAAAACATGTGCTTGAATTCTATGTATGCATTAAAGATGTTCAAAGACAGTTTTGCACTTCCAGGTAAAACTCATCCCTCTTAACATAGCAGGTGTTGCCCAAACGTTTTCATAAAATATTAAACAAACTAAATCACACATTAAAGCCCATAAACAAAAAAAATGTCCAATAGACAGCTATATCCAAGTTCATTCCCAAATTTCTATACTAGGTCAAACAATTACCCAACTGCATATCATCAGTTCTAATAAACCAAACTTATAAGAAATGGATAAAGCATATCCAAAGATTATGCATTTCCAGAAATGCACAAAAACATTTACCACTACACATTTAAGAACAAACAAGTTGGCCAATTGCAAGAGCATACCTCTCTGAGAAGTCAACCCAGGTTTTCGAAAACACACAAAGTCACAAATTCACAAGTGAATACATACCCAAACCTAAAAGCATTAATGCAAACAAAAACAATAAGGAAGATCCATCGCTCAGTAACTCACCCGGGTCACACTGATGATAAAATTCCTCCACATCTGCAACAAGAAAATGGTCAAAATTAGGCAATGAATCATCAAAAACCGCGAGATTCAAAAACCCCACCCACATATAAATCTCAGAACAAAATCACAAGTGATGCGGAGTGAGCGAAATTATACCGCTAGTAAATGAGCTAAAAATACACCCAGAGGTGAAAGTGAAGAAATTTATGTATACGAATCCGAAAATACCTGTAGTGAGGGCTTTGATCATTCCGGCGCGGCGGCCCTTGTAATCCTTGAAAACCTCCTCTACAGTTCGAGGATTATACTGTCCGGCTCCGTCCATCGCCCTGCAAGCTCTCAACTCGGAAGAGAGCAGTGATGGAGAAACGGAAACTGTAACAATGGAGGAAAAAAACGAGAGCTTTCTCTTCACGAAAGGAATGTGTGTAATTTTTTTTATGAAATGTGAATTAATAAATGATAAATGGAGTATATAAGTAGTAAAAATTTTATATTGGCAGTACCGAAATTGGAAGACGGGTGGGAGGTATGTATGATCAAGCGGAAGTGAAGGTAGAAGAAGACGGCTTAGGGACTAGGGATAGGCAGTTAGGCACAAGGGACACTACGTATTTCACAATAGATTAGAATTAAGAATTAGATTGGTTCCCAAAATGTCATGGGATAACCCAAGGACACTCCGGTGCCCCGTTCCTAAAATTGACCGTTCCTACCCTCCCTAATCCCCGGCAAATCCTCCCACCCTGCCCCGCCCCGAACAAACCCCTCCACCCCCTCCAATTGCACCTCACAAGTCGATTTTGACTTTGGAGTCAATTTGACTCCAAAGTCAAAATCGACTTGTGAGGTGCAATTGGAGGGGGTGGGGGGTTTGTTCGGGGTGGGGGGTTTGCCGGGGGGTTATGGGGGGTAGGAATCGTCAATTTTACGAACGGTGCACTGGAGCGCCTCCAGATCATCCCATTACATTGGTTCCCAATGTCATGGGAACCTTCCCCATTAAGAATATACCCAAAATGAATATTATGGTATGCACTAATATTTTTATAGTTCAGACAACTACAAAATATTAGTCTTATTAAAAAAATTTATACTAGCATTTTGCACTTATGTGAAGCATTACGCTGGCATCATAATATAAAATGAAGGCGCATACATGTGATGTACAATTTGGAATAGAAGTATCTTATTTGAAAATCAAGAGGAAAATTAAGTTTCCAACAAGGAAGGGTACATGTGACATTGACCCATAATATCATATTATGACCTGATTCTAATTGAGGCACCTACGGTACTCTATTCAAAAAATTAATAGTTTCTACCCCTCCGAATCCTCCGCTAAATCCTCCATTCAGGCCCGACGCACACCCACCCCAACCGCATTCGATTGCACCCCAAAAAATGTAGTTAATTTTAGGATTAATTTTTAATCTAAAGTCAATTAAATTTGTGAGGTACAATTGCAGGTGATCGGGAGGTAGGTTCGGGGTCGAGCCGTGGTGGGAGGGTTTATCGGGAGTTGGGAGGAATATGAATTGTCAATTTTTCGAACAGGACATCGTAAGCACCCCGATTCATCCCAAACAATTGTACATTATTTGTACACTAGTGGGAACCACAAAAATTTTATATTTGTTTGGCATAGATATTATGTCTGTATTTACCTTCAATATACAAATATTACTCCCTCCGTCTGGAAAAGAACTTCCCACCCTACGCTTTTTTTCGTACGAAAATAAACCTCCCATTATACGTTTCATACACACTCTTCCTAAAATACCCCTTTCTTTTTTTCCTTTTCCATCCTTTTCCATTTTTCTTTTTCTTTCTATCTCCGCCAGACCACAGGTATACTCTTTCTCTCTCTTCTCCCCCCCCTTCCTTTTCTTCTCCTTGTTATCTTATTCCTCCTTCTCCTTCCTCCTTCCTCCTCCTCCCCCTCCTCCTCCTCCTCCTTCTTCCCTTTATTTTTTCGGCTAGATCTAGCCTTCATCTCCCCCCTCTCTCTCCTCCCCCTTCTTTTTCTTATTTTTGTCATTTTCTTCTTCTACCAAAGTTTGGCTCTCGTTTGTTTTCTTAAGATCTAGAAAATCTGGAGATCCATTTGTGCGGCAAGAAATTCGCCTTGGATTTGGTTTGCGTAGTAGAGAAAGGGAGAGATCGCTCAAATTGTGCAGTAGATTCGTCGCATTGGGGTCTGTTTGGTGCGGCAAGCGATTATTGGTTGCTGTGAGGATTGGGCTCTAGGGGCATTTAGGACAAATTGTAGACAAAGTCAACTTCCCATAGAAATGACCAAAAGTCAAAATGTGAAGTTCTTTCACAAACGGAGGGAGTATATAATTTTGGTGTACTTTTAACATTTCTCAAACTAAAATGACCCCCACCTCATGTTTTATCTAGCACTCTCTTGCCCCAAGAGCACACCTTAACTAGTAAAGGCACTTGATGAGTTTTGATGGTAATCTATACGGTGGGTATTCGAATTCAAGAGATGTCTTTTTAGATCCAATCTCTTGTAAGTGAGATTAGATTAATCGTGACAAACATTCTTCTATCTCTAGTTAGGCATATCCTACAATTTGCCTCATCTACCAACCCCAGTGGAGGGGTGTGGAGACCCCTGAGGTGGGTGTTTCACTTATTTTTTATCTAACACTCTCTAAAATTGTACATAACCCAACTGATCGAAAAGATACTGTCAGAAAGATTAACCTGGGTCTGAATCTTAAAAATTTCATAAAAGGGAAAGTATCATTAATTAATTGTAATTTTCATGGATTTTGAAATAACTTTAAAAAGTAAGGAAAAACATTCCCTCCATCCCAACCTAGAGCTGTTTTTTATGATTTGAAAAAAATGATGTTAGGAGAAACTGAAAAAACCTAAAGAAATTGAAAAGAAAAACATTAAGGACTTCAAAAATTTATTTAAGTGTATTTTTCATATCATTCTTATTTTAAAGGTTATTGTTGTTGTTGTTATTCTACATGAAAAATATACTATCATTTTTTGAGTCATTGTTTGAAGAATAAAAAACAATTAAAAATGGAAATAATTGAAAAACAAGAAGAAATTATAAAAAATGGAGAGAAATTGGAAAAACTTGAAAAAACATGAAGGGACTATAAAAACTAGAGAAAACTAAAAAAATTATAAGAAACTAGAAGTTAAAATTTTAAATTCACTTAATTGTCTTATTCTATTATTCATTGGATAATTTTTCTCTTATTTTTGTTAATCATTTGTTGAAAATACTTGAAATAATATACAATAAAATATTTGTAATATATACTCTGTAAATTTTATTTTGAAATTTTGAAATATTATTTAAACAAATTAAATTTAAAAGAGTAAATTCCATAATTAGTCTTTTATAACAGGGGGATTTCCATATTTAGTCCTCTATTATCAAATATTACCCCCGTAGTCCTTTTTTTAAAGGTACCTTTCCACAAATGATCCTTTTTTGACTTTCTGCCGTGTTGGTGTTAATTTAAAAGCTAAAAGTATAATTTGACGTAAACATTATGTCTAGTGACGTGTTCTGATATTGGTTAAGCGGATAACACAAAAATAATGACTATGATTGTGGGCTAGGATTCTGACGAAAGATCACATTTGCAGACTATAGTTGTCGTAAAAAGCGACTGTAATTCACAAACGATGCAAACGGAACAACCTTTGGAATTGTGTATGACAAAAAAGATATATTATCATTATGAAATTACACTTTTAGCCCTCAAATTAACACCAACATGATAGAAGATAAAAAAGGACTATTTGTGGAAAGGTACCCATAAAAAAAGGACCACTTGGATAATATTTGATAATAGAGGACTAAATAAGGAAACCCCCATGTTATAAAGGACTAATTATAGAATTTATTCAATTTAAAATAAATATAATCATGTCTCGTTATTCGTAATAGAATAATAAGTTTGGGATGAAGAAAATTTATGATTAAAATTTAATTAAATATGAAGAAAATCTCATGAGAAACATGCTCATTATTTGAAAAGAAATTAAATAAGTGGAAAGTGTTTTTGAAACTTCAAGAAAAAAAGGTAGACTTGCGTGAATAAAAAAGAGTAAAGGTAAATATGGAGTCACACATGAATAATGTAGCATAAGTGCATAACCCATTTTATAAGAGAGAACTATTGTTGTGTTTGTTACACAACCATAATTTGTTGAGAGAGTGCATCATTCTAAAATGCATATGACCCACCCTCTTCAAACCATCGAGGGTTTCGAGCTATATTACACAATTGATACATTTCACGGGGATGTTTAAAAATTTGGGATGAATGTATGACTTTTGAAATTTATAAACCTATTAAGAATGAAATCTTACTATCGAAACTTTGGTCGTTTAATGAACTGAAAAGTGAAAATATCAAATGTACAATTCTTTTTGTAAAAGTAACCTTTAAATCTAAAAATAAAACCACAATATTCTAATAGCATTGGTGCAAAATTGTCTTGTTATAATAAGGTCTATATTGGAAATATGAAACACTAATGTATATTATCTTCAATGAGTATCCTTTCAATGACTCAAATACATCTAACACGGACTATTAATTTGCATAATTGATCAAATGAGAAAGCATAGTCCATTATTTGCCAGGCTTCTATTCATTACCTCTACGTTTTCACGGCCCATTAATAATCTTCCGTATGGGTTTTCCGAGTGGAGGCCCACATGGTTGAAGGCATATTTCTAGAATTTTAAGTGCACCATAAATACATGGATCTTGTTCTCAACGAAAAAGCATATACATGGACATTCATAAACGTAATGGAATGATTCCAAGATCCATTTTTATGCTCCCTTCATCTTCAATTTGATTACAAATTGGGATTTACGATGAGAAATATCTTACTTTTTGAAACCATTTTATTTATAAATCGGTATATCAATAAAAAATAAAATTACATATTAAAAAACTAGGTCAAAAGTTCTACAAAACAAGAAGTGACAAGAATATTTTATTTTATCAAATACTTAATGAAATCGCATAAACAAACAAAAATTATTGAGAGGAGAGAGAAGAAAAATTATAATCAAATTGGAGACGAAGGGAGTAACATTTTATTAATCTATTTTTTTTCAGATTTAGTTGTAAAATTATTCCTAAATAAGTGTGAAATGTGAACAAAGTACTTAAATAGGACTTCAACACTTTTTATATTTAAATATTAGGGTTCCCACATTGAAAAAAAACACTATTAGGACATATAGAAGGATGAAATCCTACCTATTAGCTTTTGTTTTTTGGATAGAAAGTGGATCATAGCTTTATATGCAAGTGATTAATTTTATTGACATTGTGTGTGTTGTTTTCGCTATATCAGAATTTTTAACATGGTATTGGAGCTGATCTGATCTGATCCGAGTTTAATTTAACCTGGTTGTTTGGACGTAGGTTTAGCGCTATGAGCTTTTGATAACTATGGTTGATTAACCATTTAATTATCACCATAAAATATAAATAGTGGAAAAAAACAAGTGAAATTTGCACTGAATATGAGCTTTTGATAACTATGGTTGATTAACCAATTAATTATCACCATAAAATATAAATAGT